CTGAAATTTAATGGGGGTAATATTGCCCATTTTTTCAAATTCTGTCAGTTTCAATTCTTGCCCATCCCACAGTTTCTCTGTCTTTAATGTCCATTCTGTTAAGACTGTTCCATTTTACATCTCTACATTGCTGTTCATATCTGATGAACTTGACTCACCATCCTCGTAACTTCACAATTTTCCTTCTTGGTAATATTAGCATTCATTTTGATAATCCCATACTTTCTCCTCTCCCTAATATTCTCCTTTAATTGCTAACTTTGGAAGAACTCCCCTACACAACGTCTTGGGTGCTTTTTTTCTTGTTTTTACTAAGGCATTTCTAACTTCTTGAGTACTCCTTACTGCCCATCCTTTGGAAGTTTTGCATCATTTTCCTTCTGTGAATACAGCCCACTGATCGACTGGCTTTTTCCAAAGTGTTGTCCTCTCCTCCCTTTTCCATAGCTTCTTTTCAATTATTATACTGCACTTTGCAACTTCAGTTCATCCCTGTCATCAGCACCTGACACATCTGTTTTGTTCTCTAGTTAACTATTTGCCCATCTTGTCCTCCAACAGTAAGCTCAGTCCCTCCTCAGTTTAATATCTCTGTTATGTTCTTGTATACCCGAACACTTCTGTAAGAGAATGAAAAGTTCAGCCAGAGTAATTAATCCTCTACTCCTACTATTCTGCCAGCAACCTGGCTAAGCACTGCAGAGCTATTTCAATTCTCTGAACCACGCCAACACGAGGAATGCCAAGCATTCCACCTTTGCCTTTGAAGCTCTGCTTCAAGGGGTTGCTTCCTTTTACAATATTATATATTGTAGCTACCTTCTCCAAACTTCTTTCTCCTCCTCCCTTGCACTTCTAGCTTTTCCTCCTTGGTGCCTCCTTGTATCTGTTCTTCCTTTCCCTCTATATTTTCTTCCCTTCATTTTGTCCTTATGACAACTCTGTGAGGTAGGTTAGGCTAAGAGTCACTGACTGGCAGAAGATGAGCTTCATGCTAGGAAAGCTAGATCTCCGAGTCGCAGTTCAACATTCTTTCCACCATAGTCTCAACCTTAAATGCAAACAGGAGCACATAGTCTCCAAAAATGTTCCTGAACTCCTGAACTTGGAATTCAAATTTGCAAAATGTGCATGTTGACAACATAGTAGATTAAAATGCATAATACACAACTTTAAACTATGCATATTTTACCATTTTTTACCTGTGCAGTTTCATGCTTTAGTCGATGGAGGGAAACTGCACTTTTAAAATGTATATTTCTCATGTTCAAACAAATTATTAAAAGTCATACATGAGAAAAGGAGAGAGCTGAACCAAACTAGGACATAAAGTTTGGACAATTTCAGAAAGTCTGAGCATCCTTGTTTCTTCCAATCCATAAAAGACACACAGTACTATTGCCCTCCCTACAGAATTGAGTTACATTTGGGGTCAGGAACATCTAGCAGTAAAACAAAACAATATGAATTCCACAATTTAATGTACCCCACATCACGATCATCTTTGTTTGGTAATAAGGCTAAGATAAAATTGGGCTAAACTGAAAGGTGCCAGAGCAGCTATAGGGTAGACAAAAGACAGATTTTATAAGGAGAACATTTTTTGTTGCTATGTGCCATTAAGTTGTCTCTGTCTTCTGGTAACCTTATGAATGAAAACCCTTCACCTCCTCCAAGTTTAAGGTTGTGGATTTCTTTATGGATTTTATGAACATTCCTTTATGAATGTTCCCTAATTTTAGAGAAAGGTTTTTCAATGGCAGAAGGCATTGCAAATTCCTTGCTGCTGGTGTATGTAATCTGTTGTTGGCCTGTACTAAGCATAGAGTGCAGCATAGAAGGTATATATTTGAAGGCCTCAGTCTGTACCTTTGCATGGAAGGCCACTCTTGAAAAGGGATAAAGCCTGTGAGACATAGTTCTTCTTCCACTGCCCAAATAGACAGTTGATACGACCCCTGATCAAAATAATCACTCAATCTAACACTTTCCATCTAACCTGGCAGCCCTTTTTTCTCCCCTTTCAGGAAATTGGATTACACTCCACCCCCCCCCCCACATGCTCTGCCACCACAGATGCTGATCAATATACTGTGGAAAATTAAGAACATTAAGTACTGCTGTAGTTTTTGTTAACTGTACTCCTGACCGTGTGCTTGCAGAATAGCAAAATGCACATGGATTTGATACAAGTTAGGTTGACAAGGACAGGAGTGAACCAGAATTCTTTGCTCTTTCTCTCTTTTTTTCTCTGAGGAAGGTAATCCAGAGAAACAAAGGGGCATAAAGCTGCAATTTGTCTTGGCTTGATCCTTCTGCAAAATCTCAAATCAGTAGGAAGGCAGCTGTGTCAATCACTTCCCATGCCGTATTACTGCAAGCGACACATAGGCTTTTAAAGCTATTTTGAATCCACATCAAAATATTAACCCTCTGCAATAAATGTGCAACAAATCTGTACAACTTGAGTTTGGGTCTGAGGCATTAAGCCTTAAAGCCTTACATTAAACCTTGAAGCCATTGATCATAGAAATATTTAACTTGTATTGTGTTTCAACAAGTTAATCTCTGTTATCAGTAATCTTGCTTAGCAAGCATACAATTCAACAATTAACTAAGAAGAAAGAACATTCTTTTCATATACCCTCACCTTACATTTACTAACATACACCCACATATTACTTCCTAGACTTAACAAATGTTATTTGTATAAATTGATAGCCAAGTTTCCATCAACTAAAATCCACAAGATCCAGACTCCAAGAGACTAGCTGTGTTTGGTTGTTAGTTACTGATGCGTATTTTTTATGGTTCACTTCTTCATTTTTTGTATATTCTCCATAACTCCAAGAGGTACATTTCATAGGAAATTTCACTGGTATAAAATTACAGATCCATTTTCATGTAGACAGAAAGCAATCTGAAACCTTCTTGTGCCTGTCAGACTACAAAAAAAAAGGAAAACCTATAATTTCATGTCATTACATTTTTTACATTCTATGGCAAAGTCCAAGTAGTATATAGTGTCAATAGTAGCAGACATAACATGAAGAAAGAAATGGATCTTTATTGTAAACAAGTCTTATTTATTTGTAGCTTTGTAAATTATTCTGCAAATGCTAAACGTATGACCCTAACAGTGGATTCATGACCAATTCCCATTCCAGGCTATGGGGGACTTTTAAATTTGCATTATGAGCCACTAGACTGTGTATGTAAATAAAACATGAACAGAAATTACATTTACCAATAACTGTATATCTGAAGTCAGGATATTGTGTTAAGAAAATTTCTAGGCACATCTAAATGAAACTGTTCTAACAAAATAGCTCCAGAACATTCAATGTGAGGATCATGTAACCATAATCAAGTGCTCTTTCCTGTGAAGCTCCTACTGAGGCTGAAGGATAATTAAAACTTCTGAGGGGCTAAAAGGTAAGGTACAACTCCTTCCATCACCTGCCTTGGCATCTCTGATAACAGGCAGGAGTACCTAATATTGGTGGCACTCAACAAGAAAGCAGCAGGTCCCTCTTAAACCAAATTGTTATGATGGTCCTGGTAAGAAGAACCTAGAGTTCAGGTCCTTACTCAGGGTTCCTGATTCAAGTCCTAAGAGGCAAGAATGGACTTCCACAGTTTCTGACAAGTGGCTCACCATGCTGCATATAGTTTGCAAAGTCAGATTAGTTATGAGCCAACAGCTACACGGATAACAGTAAAAGCAAGGAGATCTGAATACATTCATTTAGGAAAACAAGAATGTGCCTTCCTGGAATCTACCTACTCAAACATTGTCAGCAAAAATTCCAGCCAGTTGTCCAAAACTCCTTTGTTCTTTGTCCTCTACCTACTTTATATAATTGAAGTACAGATGAGATTGCTCTCAGAGGCTCACCTTTCATTATCTCAGAAATTACCCTAGTTCCTCCTGCAAAAACTGAAAGAATGTGAGATTCTGCCTACTCAATTAGGCAGACCCAGAAAAATTATCTTCCACCAGTTCAGACAAACTCCAATTGGTAGGGGGAGGATAAAGAGGGTTCAAGGTAGGGTAAAAGTGGGGTAAAATCAGGAGGGTAAAAGTGAGGAACCCAGTTCCTACAGTCTCCTATAGCAGCTGGGCTCCTCATCCACACCTCCAAGTTAGCCACTACTGCTCCTTTCTAATCTCTTCCATAGAACCTAACAAGGATGGTCAAAGGATTGTAGGAACAACCTCTGAGGATGCAGGGCTGGGGTTCTATCATCTTTGGAATTAGGACCTTATGGCAGAGATAAACAGCACAATGCTGTTCTCTGGCATAAATCAAAATCTGAATTAAAGAGTTACCTGTCTCAACTTTGAAGTTATTAAAAACATTGAAATTAGTTCATATTCCCATCTGAGACAAATTTCACTGAAGCAAACATTTAACAGAGAGTTCAAAGTAAACTGTAATCTCAGCACAATCATAGAGAATACTCAGGGATTCAGCCAAGTCATTTTATACCCTGGACCTATCGATCTTATGCCCCCTCTCCTTGAGCCAGACATGTGCATTACAAATTGTGAAACACACAATGAACATTTTTCTTCTCCCCTTCCCTGCACTATTCCATGCTTTACAACTGCTGCCATATTGCTGATGCATTAACAAGAATAACACAATTTGGTAACCCTGATAATATATATTTAAATTAAAATATGAAATGAACCTCTGTATTCATGTACATAGTTTTACTTAGGGAAAGCTTGGTTGATTTGTAGGTTGTGATCATAGCATTACTTGTGGGGTAGTCAATTGCAGTTATGCGTGCCTGAAGGAAAGATACTCTGTACATGCTTAGATGTACTAATATGAAAGGGAAGTTCTTTACTTCAAGCATTCCACGAATCAAAGGGATGTACTTATACACTGACATCTGAAGCTACTTAAGATACAGGTAATCCCTCCCTAATGAAAGAGACTTTAAATCGAAAATCAGGCCAGCAGAGACAGGAGAATTGTAAAACTCACTTGTGCTTATTGTCCCACCTGGTCCTCACATGTCATAAGTGGCCAGTACTTTTTCCACACTCTCCTTCATTTCTCCTTCCTCTGCTTCTCACATCCAATGGAAACTGTGCAAACTTGAGTGGACGCAGATACTCAGGTTTCTATCAGAGTCAGGCAATAGTGGTTAATCAAAGCCCCCAAGCCTGTCACTAATGGAGCCATTGTTGAGTCCTCAAGACTTTATTAATTCCTTCTATAGTTCATCCTCGTAACTTCAGCCCTCACTTTTCTGATTACTCGAGTACCTGTCTAGACCTGCACACTGAGTGACAAACATAAACCAGATGGCAGTATACCGAACATTCACAGAACATTCAAGTTCTTTCAGGAAGCTGATTTCCGAGAATGAACAAGCACAAACATTTGTTCTAAAACTGGTACTCAGATGACATCACATGCACTTTGCTTTATTAATAGCTGTAATAGTCAGTGGCACATATGGAGAATCTGTAAGAAAGCTATTTCACTGTTGTTAAGAATGTCTGAACTGAGCAGATGGTGGAGGATTTACATAAAATTCTGTTAGTGGGTTGCAGATTCTTTTTGGAAGCCAAAAATATTTTGTAAAGAGTTGACAGGCTAAATTCACAACCACTTCAGAAATCTACGTACATCCACTAAATCTAAATTGGGCTATAATTTAATGCAGAAGACTCACAATCCAAAAATTATTCCCTGGGCCTAGGGCACTCACTCATATTAAACAAAGCTGTGTTTCTTGGGATGGACTTTCTCAGGGTAGGTTTTTAAACTAATTTGGTAGGTGGTGCCAGTAGCTCAAAGAAACAAGCAGGCATTCCACGAGTAGATCTCCAGATTTTCTTCTTTTATGGAAGCACTCACACACAATGGAGAGGTATCTGTATGCATGGGGAACCTCCAAGAGCTGCAGAAATATGAGGAAAAGAATGGGGAGAGACAAGGGGGCAAGAAACAGCCCCCATAAGGATTCAGTGCCTGTTCCAGATGGACTATCCCCTGCCATCTGCCATCAACTGCCCTGGGGGAAGGATTCCGGGAAAGAGGCGGGTATACTAATAACAGGTACCTGCTCTTGTTCCAGGACCACCCTCAACCTGAGGGAAGGTCCCTGATAATACTTTTAATGTGTTAATATTCTTTCTGAAGTTTTCGTTGTTCTTATGTTAGTTGTAAGTCACTTTGGTAGAATCTGCATCCTAGAAAGCAGCATATAAATAACTATGGAATATCAAACAAAATGCCTCTCCCATTCATGAGCACTTGATCTCGTTCTTTCCCATCTTCCTTCGTATCTCTGCATGCTCCCAACCTGCCAATATGCATATACATTATATCCTTCAAATTATGTAAAATGTATCTAGGCTAGTTTGTGCTTTCAGAAGCCTAAGTTGGTATATTAGCTTCTCAGCAATGGGTATATTTCAAATTTATAATATTTTTATTGCAAGTACTGGTAAAATGTACTTCTAAGTAGTCTTTTTGAGTTCTTACAAATTCCCTATACATTATACTAGTGGTGACTTTTACAATACTGTTCTGATTTGGCTACCTCTGCTTCCAATAGCTTATAGGTGGCTTTGTTACTTCAATTAAGGACTACCCCACTGTCTGGCTTATGCACTCTCCCAGATTGTAGCCTGTGTTAGATTTTCTGGTCTATTCATTTGAAAGTACTGTTGTGCATCTCTCCATATTTCATTTAAATAAGTTGAGCCTCATACATATGTGGTGGGCTGTCATTTGTAGATATTAAGTGTGATTATGACAGGGCTGGGATGTGAGACTCTCAAGTCCCCAAACATTTGAGGCTGTTCTGACATTGCCCATACCCCTAGAAAGTAGGTTACTGGTAATACGTGTATGGGTGTGATTCCATGAAAAGAAGCAGGTATGGCCCTTGAGCCGAATCCTACAGGAATCTAGGAATATATAAGCCGGTATTAGGTCATCCAAATTCTACCTTAATACTCGCAAAGCTGGTCTGTTCCCATTCCTATCCAGATTACCATATTGAATGCAGCTGAATCCATCCAGGATCACTTCACAATAGTCTCCAAGAACAATTGCTGAATTGAATTTGAAGCATAAATTACACATGATACACAAGAATCTACTAAGCTCCATTAGTTCACCTCTGCATTGAAAGCTCAGCATGTCTAACAGCATGCCCTGGATGTTGATCTACCTGGGGCCACAAACTGTTACCCAAACCACTGAAGAGGCAGTAAACTGCCCCATAATTTTGTCTGCTTCTTGTAGAAAAGTTATTTCAAATTTTTCTTTTTGGATGAAACTTCAGACTTTTCATCTGCTTACTGGCTTGCCCAACCCCTTTGCATTTAGTTAGTATTTTAAGCTCTCCCACAGTATAGAGCCACTGCAAGGTTTCCAAGTCCCATTACCTGGCCTGTTACTGGAACACTTAACCATCTCATGAACTGAATAACAAACAACAAAATCAACATTAAAATGCTCTGAACGCATAAAGAGGCAACTCCAGTGAAGTTCCCTCTCATAGCAACATGAAGAATTGTCTATCTGTGCTTGCCATAAGTTGGGATAGTCATTAAATGCTTAACAACTAGTTCTCATCAAATTACTAATATATAAAAGCTCTCTTTCAGACTGTAAATGTTGTCCCTTTTACATAACTCTTACACATTTGTTTGGATAATACTACATACACATCCATCTATGTGAACTTTCTACCACATGCATCTGAGTGCATGTGAGTGTAACTTTGGATCTACTTCTCTGTTAATATGCAGTCAAGGTTTCAGTCTCCCATTCATCTCATCCACTGCTTTCAACAATAGTAAATCTCTTCATGTCAACATCTTCCAGTCCACCAAGCTGAGTATAGATGTCTTCCATCAAGTAATTGTTTCCTTTTTCCAGAGTTCTGGGGACACAGCCAGAGGGTAGCCTTTGCACTTACACTTTTCTAGACTGAATAATCTGTTCTTCTTGCTCATCCTCTAGGAAAAGCTCATTTAGCAGCTCCTTTAACTGCTGCAATGAAAACAAGCTTTTGCCTGAGAAAAGGTATTGGCCGAGTATATGGTGTCCTCAGAGCTGGCCACTAGCTGAAGCCACAGCAATGTCTGAGTTGAGCTGTGGATTGGAATGCTCTTTTGAAAGGTACTCATGCTCAGCTCTTGAAAGATTATAACAGGTCTGTATTTAATAGAGGTCTAGGTATGCTGAGTGTCTGTATGAATGTGTTTTTGATTCCGAACTGCACAACAGAAATGCCAATGCTTCTAGGCCTCATACCCTCATAAGGCACTGGACATGATGGGCCCTTTCCATATCTGCTGCTGGAAGCTGCAAATTTTGGATGCTGCCAGACAGGTAGGGCAGCAGAAATTCTGCTTATTATTCCCCTATTCCAACTCCAGAATGCCACAAATACAAATATGCTGGTACCTGCTTCATTTTTCCAAATTCTCAAGCTTCTTATGCATATCTCAAGGCAGCCTGCACAAGTACTTTGGAAATGCTCCAGTGAACTTCATCTGGAAGGCTTTAAATTGAGCTCTGTGTGTGTGTGTGTGTGTGTGTGTGTGGGCGGGGGGGGGGGGGTGGGGGGTTCCCCGAAAACCGTGTTGTTGGGGGGGGGGGGGGGGGGGGGGGGGGGGGGGGGGGGGCTTCAGGTTCCCCTGAAACCTGTCCTGATTGGACAAGTGAGGGGAGAGGATCAGTGTTTCAGGGCCAGGGCGTTGGAGGTAATGTAGGGGCTGGTGGGATTTCTACAAAGAGAGTTCCAATACCAGGAAGAAGGGGAGGAGGAGGAAGTCAGGGGACCCAAAGAAAGGGGGATGTGGGAAGGAGCTGAGATGCGTGTAAGCTAATAATAGGAGCATGGGAAATAAGCAGGAAGAGCTTGAGTTTTTCCTGGGAATAGGGGGGTATGACCTAGTGGAGATCATGGAAACATGGTGGGATGAAAGGCAGGACAAAAATGCAATCAGAGAGGGGTATCACTTGTTTAGAAAGGACAGGAAGGGAAAGAGGGGAGGGGGTGTAGCATTATAAGTCAGGGAGATGCAATGGGATAGAGTTGCATGCATACTAACACTAGGAGCATGGGAAACAAGCAGGAAGAGCTTTTGTTCTGGGAATATGGGGTATGACCTGGTGGGGATTAAAGACACATGGTGGGATGAAAGGCAGGACTGGAATGTAAAAATAGAGGAATATGTGCCATTTAGAAAGGACAGGAAAAGAAAGAGGGGAGGGAGCAAGGTGTTTTATGTAAGGGAAGAGATAGGATACAATGAAATGGATGGTGGCACAGAGGGGGATCCGCTAGAGGCAGTCTGGGTTAAACTAAAGGGTCTTGATGGGGGGAGGGACCTGATGGAGGGGATGTTATTGCTCTCCAAGTCAACTAGAGATCCTGGATGATGCCCCGACAGACCAGTTTGGAAAGATATCTTGGGGGAGTGACATGGTAATTATGGGAGATTAAATTGGAAGGCTTAGTCAGTGGCACCCACCAGGACATGCCGTTTCCTAGACACTACAGAGGGAAGGTAACACAGCGTAACAAGGTGGGGAAGAGAAGAGCAGCACTGCTGTGAATGTGAAGCGAGGTGGTAAGTGGTAAGATGAACCTCCATAGGAAACGCACACTGGGGCAAATGATCAAAAGGGTATACTGGGAGGAGGAGGCCCATTGCAGAAGGATTCTTCACAAGGCTAAGGCTGATTATGAGCTGATACTTGCAAAGAATATCAGGAGCAACAAAAAGGGCTTCTTTCAGCATGTAAATAGGAAGAGGAAAGGGAGACAAGTGGTGGGACCACTAAATAAGGAGGAAGGAGATCCAGTGACTGATGTGAGGGAGCAGGCACAGATGCTAAATGACTATTGTGCCTCTGTGTTCTCCCCAAAGCAGGACAGGGGGTATCTACATGGGGGACCAGATGAGGCCAGGGACTTAGGGGCACAGATTAGAGTCACCCTGCTAGAAGCTGAGGAGCTCCTCAGGGCACTGGATGCCCTGATGGGTTACACCTGAGAGTACTTCATGAGTTGGTGGGGGTATTCTCGAGTCTGTTGGCTTCCAGTTTTGAGGCCTCATGGAAAATCAACAGGTAGGGTTCCAGTGGAGCAGAGGGAGGCATCAATGGTCCCAATCTTCAAAAAGGGGAGTAGAGGGAACATGAGGAATTGCAGGCCAATTAGTCTTATGTCCATTCTAGGGAAGACAATGGAAATTCTTATAATAGGGAAAGCTCTAGAAACCCTAGATAGGTAAGGGAGTTTGACAGCCACACAACACAGCTTCTGCAAATACAGGCCCTGTCAGACAGACCTTGTAGAATTCTATGACAAGATGTTGAGGTGACTAGATGGAGGGTGGTTTACCTGGAATTCAGCAAGGCCTTTGACAAAGGGCTACATCATATCTTGGTTGAGAAATTGAGGAGTTTTGAGATACACCAATGCACTCTCCGATGGATCAGGGTATTGTTGGCGGACCGAAAGCAGAAGGCAGCTATTAGTCATGAATCGTCGGGATGGCGGCCGGAGACAAACAGAGCCCTCCAGGGCTCAGTCTTGGGTTTGATCCTGTTCAATCTCTTCATCTATGACTTGGGAAAAGGGATGACCAGTCTGTTGATCAAATTAGCAGATAATACTAAAATGGGGGCAGTGGCCACAATTGAGGAGCAGGTACTCCGGATCCAGAAAGATTGGGACAGACTATGGAAGTGGGCAGGGGACAACAGGATGGTGTTCCATGCAGGTAAGTGCGAGGTCTTTCACTTGGGGCATACCAATGGCTGTCATAAGTACAAGTTAGGGGACAAGTGACTGGAGAGTAGCACTTGAAAAAGGGATCTTGGGGTAGTGCTCGACTGCAGACTAAACAAGTCAGTAGTGTGACGCAGCGGTCAAGATGGTGAACACTAACCATGGATCTATAGCCAGAAGCATGACTTCTAGATGGAGAGAGATATTACTGCTACTCTATACGACTCTAGTGTGCCTGCAACTGGAGTAATGTGCTCAGTTCTGGGCTCCACATTTCAGGAAAGATATAGTCAGGTTGGAATTGGTGCAGCATATGGCTACAAGGATGGTGGCTGGTTTGCAGGGAAAGTCGTATGAGGCAAGATTGAGGGAACAGGGTCTTTTCTGCCTGGAGGAGACTCCAAGTGGATCATTGGTAACATATAGGTATGTGAGGGTTTGTCATGTGAGTCAAGGGCTGTTTTCCTCTGCGGAAGAGGGCAGAATGTTTTTCAATGGAGCAAAGCTCAGGGAACCAAGGTTCAATTTGGATGCCAGGAAGAACTTCCTGATAGTTAGGACCCCGAGGGTATGGAATGGGCTTCCACGGGAAGTGGTTGAAGCCCCATCAGTGAGGGTGTTCAAGGATAGGCTGGACATGCACATGGTAGACATGTTGTGAACAGAGCCAGCTGGATCTGTGGGTCAGACTAGATGGCCCAGGAGACCCCTTCTGACTCACTCTGTTTCTACATAAATCGCATGGTGGCTCTGCAGATGTCATCCTGTGGAATACCAGCTAGGAGACTGGTTGATCTTGTCTGAGCATTGGTGGAGTGTGCCCTTGGGCGCTCACTGAACTTGACTCCTACTATCTCATATGCTAGACCATGAGTCCTCAAACTATGGCCCGCAGGCTGGATCTGGCCCACCATGCCCATTTAATCGGCTTGCCCAGAGGTGTTGCATTCACTGCACGTGCGCGAGCATATGGCTTGCTCACGCAGAGATCGGTTTCGATTCTCTTGGAGAAACAATCTCTTCACGAGCAAGCTGGAGCCTTGTCATGTGCACACCTGGCAGCGGCTTGCTTGTGGGGAGATCAGTTTAGATTCGTTCAGAGAAAACAATCTTCTCGCGAGCAAGCTGCTGCCTCGCCCCGTGTGCCCCCCAGCCCCCATCTCCCATGTCCCCCACCCCTGCCTTGCTGCGCATGTGTGTGCCCCGGCCTGCACCCCACTGAGGGCACCGCCTTGGCAGCCCACACCCACAATGGGCACCTTTCAACTGGCCCCCTTTTGGAAAAGTTTGAGGACCCCTGTGCTAGACAAACAGTGCTAAATATTCACTTGGATAGTCTCTGGAAAGATATTGCCTTTCCCTTCCTCTGATCCGTGTAACACATTATGAAGTGGTCTGAGCAGTGGAGTTGCTCTGTTCATGTCCTGCAGAATGCGAGGGCCCTGCAGGCATCTAGCAGGTGTAGCATGGTGTTAATGGTGGTGGAGGTGTTAGGAAAGAAGGCCAGAAGGACAATGTCCTACTTGATGTGAAAGGCAGAGGTAACCTTGGGTTTCAACTGTGGGTCAGAACAGAGCATTGCCTTGTCCCAGTGGAACGTCAGGTAGGGCACATTGACTCATAGTGCTGATAGCTCACTGGTGCAGTGGCTGGACATGATGGCCACCAGAAATGTTATCTTCCATGATAGAAGCTATAGGTCCATCATCTCTATAGATTCAAAAGGCCTTCTGATGAGGACTGAAGGATCACCATGAGGCTTCATGACAGTGTGCAAGGGTGAGCCAGTGGACTACGGAGGCAAACCAGTCTCCTTGCTGTAGGAGGGAGAAGATGCCTTGCAGGGAGCTTATTCTGAACCTCCTGGGTGTAATGAACTTGTTGATGCCTCTAAAGTCAACAATTGGTCTGACACCTCTGTCCCATTTAGACAAGGTTAAATGGAAGAAGAAAAAAGCTCTGCACCAATCCATGGAGAACTCTATGACCCTTTTGGACAGCAGAACCTCCACCTCCACCAGCAGTACCCATGACGGCAGGGTGATCTTAAACT